TACTTAATTTTTTACTTTTAGTAGTGTTTATTCTTTTAGTTGTCTATTATTTCAAAAAACAATGCTTATAGAAAACTTTTTTTTGGTCTTTCAGGAAAACTATAATTTAATCTTCTCGAGCCGACTTGAACTCACAATCACAATCATTCCTAACAATTTATGGATTATTTCACTATATTTTAACATCTCTCTCTCTCTCTCTCGCTCAAATTCAAAAAAAAAAGATTAAACCAAAGTTGTAATAGATATCCTGCATGGTCATTGCAATAGGAGGGTTTTGGCGCTTTAAATTGGATTTTTCTCTCTCTCACAAATGAAAAAAAAGATTAAAGCAAAGTTGTAATAGATAGAGGGTTTTGGGGTTTTAAAGTGGAATTTTAGAGGGAGGAAGCTACTTTTGCTATTTTCTCTATCAACTTAAAAACCCCCAATTTTTTTGGCAAAATTTTGGCAACTTCCGGGTTGATTTTGCCCATCAATCCACCAAATTTTAAGCCCCAAGCAAGTTTGATACACTATTTTCTCCATTTTTTTGTTTTATATTAAAGAAAAAAAGAAAATTTTGATTTTTAGGTTTTTTGGTAGAATTGATATTCTTTTTTCAAATCAATGCAATAGATTGTTTTGTTTATTCAATTTAACAGTTATTCTTGCTTTAATAATTATATTCTTGTAGGTTTTTACATTGTTTGGTACATTATAAGTATTTGTGGGTTTTTCGCTTTTATTTATTTATTGTTATTTTTTATTCTCTAACATTTCAATAGAACTATGGAAAAATGTTTATAGATGAAAAATATTCCATTGTTTGTACCTAATAACTTCTCTCAATTTTTTTTATTATTTTTCTATTTTTTTGTTTATTCCTTATTTTCTCTATTCGTTTTTATATTTTTTTATTTTATGATCGGTTTGACCAGTGAATCAGTCCAGTCCAATTGGATCAGTGACCACACAGGTTTACCTACCGCTCCCGTCTTTAACAAGATTGCTTAAAAATCGGGTCAGCTGGTAAATGGTTTCACAGGTTTAGCCACCGCTCCAGTCTTAACAAGATCGGTTAAAAATCGGGTCAGCTGGTAAATGGTTTCACAAGAAGTTTCTACACGCCTATTAAGGTGAAAAGCTGCTTTCATATGAAAATTGTGCAGTAAAAACTTTTCAAATGAGATATATTTTTACGCGTATTTTATGCAAACCAAACATAAATAATGTAGGTTCTGCTTTTTTTTATTTAAATAAGGGTGTTTACATAAGGTTGCAACCGTCAACAATAAAAGAAAGGTGCACCTCCAAAATATAAGGATGGCCTGATAATCTATTTTTATATCTAATGTAAAATTTAAATTTCAAAAATAGTTCAAATCAAATAGATCTATAAGCACATAAAATCTTGAAAATAGACCGTCCAGCACTATTTTTGGGACTCAAAATATTTTATTTTCTTTCTATACATCTCGATATCAAGATGATCAATTAGAAGGTTTTTCAACATCAAAACAGCATTTTCCAATGGATTTTTTAAGTGCATCACAATTTAAAGTCGTAACCTTATATAAACATTTTCCTTTAATTAATTCAGGTTTCATATGAAAACAATTATGCGGGCCTTTTTGTTGGAAAGTAGTGGCAAAAACTGAGTGACATGCAAATGTCTCTGTACTTCAAGTCTCAGTAACACTGAACTTCTGCATTCAACTACTGCAAATCTCGGTAACACTTTTAATGCTCCTTTTGCCCAACGCCTCATCTTATACTTTTGACCTAAATGATTGGTGTACCCTAAAACCTTAGACGGGTGCCCAAACAAAAAGCATAAATGAACCACGTCTCTGTTTTGGAAAATTATTACATACTGCTGGGAATTTTGCGTCCCCAGAGATATAAGGCATTCATCTTAAAAATAGATGCAAATGGGTGGTCCAATTAAAAATAGTTGAAACTAACGGTCTAAATGCTTTTTTATAAAATTATTATTTTTAATTTTAAAAATTTATTTATTTTTCATATTCATAATCTCCATGTTAGAGATTATATATCCTTAAAATTAGGTCCAAAAAACCATCACAAAAATAGATGTTTAAGAGGGGACTCATTTTTATATGGACTCATAAAAACCATGGCGCTATGATTTAGCTCAATAGTGGCTACAAATATGGATCTAGAACCGAGTCAGCCTTGGATCTAGGAGTCTATGGTTCCGGACAGTTTCGAATTGGAGAATCAGCTTGGGTTGTCCAGGGCTGAGCAGTCGGTTGTTCCGTTGAGTGAGGACTCAAGTTATTTTTAAGTCCTTAGATCGGTTTTTTCTCTTTTGATAGAAAGGTAAAGTGTTTTTCTCATTTTTTACCCCCAAATATACTTTTACCATCATTTACTTTTACCCACCCCTCTCTCTCCTCTTTCTCATGAAAAGGTGGTCCCAAATTGTAATTTTGGTCCAGTAAATAATAGTGGTGGTCCAACAATATAAGTGGCGGTCTGGCACTAACAAAGAACAGTATGACAATAGGCCAATGCGGTCCAGCACTGCCAAAAAGCGGTCCGGCAATGTCAAAGAGCAGTCCGGCACTTTTTTTAGTTTAATGGGGTCCGGCAATGTCAAAGAGCGGTCCGACAGCCTATGTGAATATCCGGCCAAAAGTAAATTTTTCTGTCAAAAAATGTAAATTTTTCTGTCAAAAAAATATACTTTTTTTTACTTGGGGGTATTTGTTTGAAAAGTGTATTTTGGGAAAAAAATGAGAAAAAAAGTTGGGCTGGGGTAACTTGCATAGAAAATCTAGCTTTGAAGATTATTTGTAATTTTTCCTATTTTAAATACAAAGAAGTCATAATCATTATTGTCTGTAAAATTTTAAATCGTATGGTTGTGGGTGTGTCATTGGCTAAACCCAAAATTAAAAAAAAAAAAATTCTTGAACTTGTAACACACTCAATCCATCCAATTTAACATCTAATGGCTAATAGTACTTGTGACCTCGTTTGAAAGAAAAGAAATGGTGCAGTCATTCGAATCAGTGAGCCGACTCACTTAAATAGGGAGAGGAAGATTTATGATAATTTTTTTTTTTGTTTAGGCATTTGCTAATGGAAAGTCTCAGGAGAAAATACTTACAAATAAAATGCTTTTGATTGTATTCCAGAGGGTAGGGAGGGGCTTCCCATCCACCACTTCACACTTTGCTTCTACGCTTAAGTTTTCAAATCTTACTTCAACTGTGGGCAGCTTCAGTCCGACTCTGGAAAAAAGAGAGGAAAGAAAAAAGCAGATGAAACAGTAGATATTTTCTTGTTTTAAAACCTAATTGTCATGTACTATTTGACATGATTTTTAGGATAATAAAAGGGTTTGTATATAGTGAGACAGTTTACAAAGAGGTCACAATTACTGATGAGATCTCAAATTGGATGGTTTGGGCTAGTCACAAAGTTCGATAATTTATTGTTTTTTTTTAAACTTTGAGTCTTTTTAATAATACTCTTACAATCACTTAATTTGAAATCAAAAGGACAAGAATGATTGTGACCTCTTTGTACAAAAGTAAATGGTCCTTTTGGATTGTGAATCTTGTGTTGTTTGTTCTAGTATCATGATGAAAGAGACAAAAGAAAACTCTCGAAAATAAGTAAGTATTTTCACATTAAAAAACTCCTCTATGTGATTAAGTGTGAGAGTTTTTTCACACCAATTAACAGTCAATTAGTGTGAAAAAATGCTCTGGGGCGAATTAGTGTGAAAAACTCCCACACCCAATTACATGGGGGAGTTCTTTCACATAAAACTACTTTCATGGACATATTTTCATGGTTACTACTGTTTTATGTAAAATAAGTTCCACTTCAATGGAAAGAAATGAGAACTGACTTCACATCTTTTCTAATAGAATATTTTTTAGGTGTGGTTTTGGTGCAGCCGTTGATGCAATAGGTTGCACCTCAAAACCTATCGGAAAAATGGACTCTGACTATTGAAATTGCAAACCCATCCTCAACTCCACATCATGGATCTGAAAATAATGAATTTGAAGTCTTAAAGGTGCTCTATCATGCACCACTCTTTTTGCATTGTCATTTTTGGACCTCCCAAGGTGTTCTTGGCCCTCAAGCCATTTCCAAGGTGGTTTTGTGGTGGTGCATGCCTAACATTCTTTTTTTACTTTTTAAATGATTTTAATACATTGCTTTTTGATATGAGGAGTTAGAAGGAACTGCAAAACCTTTAGAAATAAAATATCCTTTTTCCTATTAGGTACAACACCAAATCAATGATCGGAATTTATTTTGTCACTATGGAGCAAGAGAGCTGTTGTCACATTTAGTGATTAAGTATTCTTGAGCTAACTCAGAATCGTATGTTTCAATTGTAATTTAAAAACTACACAATTCCAATTTCAAAAACCAGAATCACCCCAATTCTCCCGTTTTTACTCTTCTTTTTTCATTCCTTTGTTAAACATAATCTAATCCAACTCAATAATCGTTCAAGTCGAGATTAGAAAAGCGGAACCAGAATGGGACCCCAATGGGTCACAGCCCAATTCCAATTTTTCAAACACCCACAAATTATTGATGATATGTTTGAATAATTAGAGTCCGAGGGGGGTCAAATAAAATAAAATAAAATTGCAAAATGTTGTCAGGAGATCATGTGGAAGGAAATGGAGATAGGGGCGCTAAATTATTATAAAAACTGCAGAGACAGGAGGATAGATATATGTCACATGTTTCAGCTACATACTCATCTTGTCATTAAAGAGTATGGCAATCAATGAGGACCATCTCTAAGAATCCGGTGCTTTTGTCCTCTAACTTGGTGGCCAACTTCCTAAAAATAAATGAATGACAAGAATAAATAATTGCTTTGGTGTTTAGGGTTTGTACAAGGTACCCAATTAGCACCTAATCACATTATGATTCACCTATTATCTAAGGGATTATGATTCACAGTTTATCTTAGGGATTGTATAGCATGAGATTATTTATTTTTTTATATAAAAATGACAATTTTTTTTAGCTATTGGATGTGAAATCTAACATATTATAGCGTATCACAACTTGCGAAAAAATTTGTTTCGAAATTTGTATTCAATCAGTGACACACGATCACCCATTGGATTTCACATCTAACGGGTGACAATGACGGACTTTATCTTATATCTTGTGTTGGTCTCAAGATATGTTTTGATCTATAATTATAAAATTTAAAGCTCTAAAAATAATGTAGATCAAGCTAACCAATAAATACTTAAAAATCTTGAAAATCGACTGTCCAGATGAATATGCTACAAGATTCACTATTTTTAATACTTAAATGTATTTTATATTCGTACATCTTAAGTTAGAAAAGATTAATTTGAGGGTTTTCCATAACAACGTTTCTGAATGAGTTCATGTGGTGTGTCTCAATTTTGTAATTCAAGGTTGAGAGATTTTATAAACTTTTTCCTAAAAAAAAATTGGAATTTTATAAAATAAAATTTTGGGATTGTGATGAGTATGGTTTGATGTCACCGCCTACCAATAGGTTGGACGGTGATGGAGGGAGTGATCCTATTAATATAATGAATACATCAATTGGTCGACTCTCTAATCAATGTGTGACCAGTTTTATAAAAACGGATCGGTGCTTTAAATAATTGGGTATGGAGTCCGATTAACTTGGTCCAAATCAACATATTCTCAAATTGAACTAGTATACTGATTCATTAAGAAAAATAAATAATAAGAAAAAGGCGAAAACCAAGGGCAATAGGGTGAACCTAGGGCTCCTCGGACCCGTCACCTTTGCAACCGGTCCAATCCGAATCAGGCAAAGCATCACTTTTGGGCTGGGCTATCCAAAAACCGAATTGTTTCTCGAGTGAGATGAAAACTGAGAATACCAGTTTCCATCTCACATGAAATAACACCACATTTTGTTGGATCTCCCAAAGCATATCAACGAAAATATGGTAGAGTTGTATTTTCCTTAACCTGTGCTTTCAAAAGTATTAACCAGTGTAGGAAAAATTAAATCGAAATTGTTATCCAGACATGGGCCGGAAGGGGTTCAATTGAAGTTCATCAGTAAATCGGCCTGTTCAACTGGCCTAACGGGCAAGCTCCGAGTGGTTAAAAAAGTGTTAAAGACAAATCACATCCAAATGAAGTTGAAAATTAATTAAAATAATAGATTTTAAAAGATCGATTTGTGTCCAAAGATATTTTTGAAATTTTTCAAAAAGATAGGAAAATGTAAAAATAGTACTAATGGCCAAAACGATTTCCAATCTTTGCCAAATGAAGAAAAACAGTAAACAAAAAAAAAATTGTAAACAAAATCCCTTATTTTTTGGGGATTCTATATTTTTTTGAAATTTTTTTAAAAATACCCAACGGATTCACCAAAACCGGAACTTGCCAATGGTCGGTTCCAATTTAACCGGATCTAATCAGGCGGTTAGAATTTGAACCGCTCAAATTTTTCGTATACTGGTACTAGTCCTATAGCTTTGATCTAGAAAGCTATATTCTAAACAATCTATTAAAATGCGACAATTAAAAAATTAAGGAAATGCAATATCCAATAAATACTAAATATATGAACCGAAATGCTTGAAAATGGTCTTTCGAAAATGGCACCTGCCCTCATAAGCGTACAAAGCTAAATATGATTAAGAGAGAACCAAAATTTTGGCCAAAAGTTACAAGAAAAATGTTAAAGCTTATAAAAAAATCAAGACTAAAAAGTTTTCTCCTTTAAGAGAGAGAGAGGTCTCATTCTAAACTCTCTCTCTTTCTCTCTCTCTCTCTCTCTAAGTTTAAACTTGACCATACCTGTCTACTCTCTCTCTAAAGTTCTTGAGTAGCCTTTGATTATCTTCTTCAACGTGCTTGATCATCCTCTCTACAAACACATGCTTCTCTAGAGCTCCCAACCTCGTCACATCTGCCGCCCTTTTCCCATCATTAGTATCGAAGACCGTCCATTTGAGTCGATCGCAGCTCGGCAACCGTTCGATCGCTGCCCACTGTAACTCGATCTCTTCTTCGTCTCTCCTCTCCATTGAATTCTCTCTCCTAAAGCTCGAATCATCTGGTAATGGATGATTCAAGCCAAAAGACCTTCTCACACTTCTTCCTATCTCAGACAACTCCATGTCGTCCCCCCTCACTACTTGGGCCATTCTTGCCCGACCCCAACTTCCTACAACTTCTCCATGCTTATTATATATGTGTGTGTGTGAGAGAGAGAGAGAGAGAGATTTATTGTTATTATATATGTGTGTGACTGATAGATATTTTTTGTCATCATATGAATGGGAGACAGAGAGATTTATTGTTATTATATGTGAGTGCAAGAGAGAGATTCTCTTGTCAATGAGCGAGGAATGATATGGGGAGAGAGAGAGCAAATATATATATATATATATACATAAAAGTTTACATAAGGTGTCAACCCTATACAGTAAAGTGTACCGAAAAAAAAACCCACAAGAGAAGGTTGTTTCTATGCTGGAAAGCCCTCAAATTGATCATCTTGATCTCGAGGTTCTTAGACATGAAAAAAGGGATTTCTAGTCCTAAAAACAGTTTATCTCTTAATACATTATTTGGACCGTCCATTTTTAAGTATTTTTAGATTTCTTTGATCATCACTGGGTTTTTAAACTTTAAATTTTATAATTGGGGGCAACAATAGATTTTGATATCATAACCGAGCTTTGCGGCACCCGAAACTACATTTTTGGCATAGGTTTGAGGTATACCTTATTTTAACAGTATAAAGTTGAGATCTTATGCAAACTTCACCCCATAGAAAAATATCTTGTTGAGGTGATGGAGTAAGCTATTACGTCATAGACGCATGAAAAATGTCAATGCGTGAATAATGTTGTGTTTAAGCATGAATGGTGAATTAGATGGCGTAGCTTAATCAAAAGTTGTTTGTATTCATACCAACAACCACTTCATTACATCACATATACATACGAAGACTTAGGATTTGCAATTTCATGCCGATTTACATTGCATGGTGCAAGGTTTGAAATTTTGACTATTCGGATCAAAATTGTTCGATTTGGATTGAAAATCATCGAAACTGATCCAGTTCTCAATCCAGTTGGGTTCCCACCATTATATGTGTGAAACCAAATCACATAAGTGAGTTTTATTTTTGACTTTTTATCTCTCTCATTTGGGCCATTGGATTGCATCTAATCCAATGGTTGTAATGTTGTAGGAAGACTCATCTTTAAATGGATTTGTTTCACTTTGTTTTAGTGAGAGAGAGAGTGAGAAAAACGATAGAGAGATTGGTTGCAGTTTGGTTTCTCTTGTGGGCTTATGTATATACTCTTTTTTAGAGAGAAAAAGTGCACAAAAGCTTGAGTTCCGTTATGGGTTGTTGTGTACCCTCATTTAGATAGAGAAATTGTCAAAGAGAAGCCCTATTTTGAGGCCCTGTTTAGAGTGAGAAAGGGCTATTGAAAATTGATGGTTTGAGTTCGATTTCACCCAATGTTGGAAAAATTGGACGATCTAACTAGTGAACGCTCAGTTAGATCTCGAGCAATTCTAGTGATCGGCTGGTATTTTTTTTAAAAAAAAAAATGTAAATAAAATCTCAAAAATGAGGAATTTGATTTGTAATATATTTTTTAATATTCTTTACATTATGATAAAGATTAAAATTTATTTTGGTCATTAATACTCATTTTTATATTTTCCCGTTTTTTTTGAAATTTTTTAAAAATATCCCTAGGCACAAATCGATTCTTTAAATTCCATTCTTTTCATTAATTTTCAACTTCATTTGAATGAATTTTGTTTTAATCATTCTTTATATTTTTTCATATTTTGGTAATTTTTTTTTATCTTTTTAATTTTTTCAATAATTTCTTACCACTTGGGACTTGCCCGATTAGAACAATTGAATCGCGGTTTACCGGTTAGGCCGGTAAAAATCGCTTCCGGACCCATATTCAGTTTACCGTTCTGGTTTGATTTTGCGAATACTGATTTTACCTTGTAATCTTCCCAAATCAATAAGTAAGTCTCGCAGTCACGTTTTGTTGCTGAAAGGTCACATTTTGTCGTTGAACCAAATCTTTGTGCTATGTGAATGTATGTTGTTCCTTGTTGATGCCTATGTGAATGTATGTTGTTCCTTGTTGATGCCTTGATGCTATATTCTTTTCATTACTTGTTTATGTTCATTTGGATGCACAATAGTTGTAAATGTGTTGTATTTTTATCCCTTATTGATGCTTTGATGTCATATTGTTTTTCATTGTTTGTTTATGTTCATTATGGATACACTGTATATTTTTATTCTTTGTTGAGGCTTTGATGTCGTCATTTCTTTTCATTGCTTGTTTATATTTATTTGGATGCACAATAGTTGTAAATGTGATAAGCTCCCCGCTTATTGTTCACCAACCGACCCCCAACACCACTTGTTCCTTGTTGATGCTTTGATGTTGTCGTATTCTTTTCATTGTTTGTTTATGTTCATTTAGATGCCCAATAGCTAAAAATGTAATAAACCCTTGCTAATTTTTCACCAACTAACCCCCAACACCCCCTTGAACCGGCAAACTCCCTTAAAAAACCGATGGGTTGTAGTCCAAAGAGGTTACCTTTATGTGCGCCCAGCCTCACGTATTAATAGGGGCAACTCATTGCATCCCACCCAATGCTTGCAAAATCGAACTGGAACGGTTAATCGGACATGGCCTGGAAGCGGTTGAACCGGCCTAACCGGTGAACTGGCCGATTCAACCACTCGAATTGGGCAAGTCCCATGTGATCAAAAAAGTGTTAAAAAAAATAAAAAAATACGCCAAAAAGAAATCTATTAAGATATGAAAAACATACAAAAAATGATTAAAACATGAGGAAATATAAAAGTGAGTATTAATGACCGAAACAATTTTTAATCTTTATCATAATGTAAAGAGTAAAGAATATTTAAAAATACATTACAAATCAAATTTTTTATTTTTGAGAATTTATAAACGTTTTTTTTGAAAAAAAAAAATTAAATACTAGTTGATAATTTATATACATGTTTTTTAATTTTTTTAAAAAAATACAAATCATACGATTAATGGTTAGGTCGACCGGTTTTGCGAACACTAATCCTACTTTCCAACATACGCGTGTGTTGCGTTTTATGTAAGTTTTACATGCTCAAAAAGATCTTTTTCACAGAGATTGTCGAAAGAGAGAACTCTCTCTCTCCAAGACACACTCACATATGAAGCAGGATCTCTATTATTGGATACATTCAATTATCCCATTTCTCACAAATGAAACATTATCACCATTATTGGGTTACATTCAATTATCTCATTTCTTGGCATTGATTTTTATTGAATGATTACGTACGAACCCAAAAAAAAAAATCTAAAATATGAAATGCTTTATTTATAGGCAGAAATTACAATAGAATGTCGATCAACTTGTACTTTTTTATTTTTTAAAATTACCTCTCAATCCGATCCTCGAATTGAATTTAAATTTTTTTAATGTTTCATTAGTTTTAATTTTAATTTTAGTTTCTCTACTAACAAAAAATCTAAAAATAAAATAAAATTCAGTCTATGGATGGAATCTTTGGACCGAAGGCAATTTTGGAATAAAAAAATAAAGAAAAGGTAGTTAACCGACTTTCTTTGTAATTTTCACCTACAAACGGAGCATTTCGTATTTTAGAAAAAATTTAAGACCCGTACGTAAATCACTCTATTTCTCTCGGTGCTTGTTTCGGTCCTTGAAATTTATTTTTTTTAGTTTGTCCATTAGTTTCAATTTAAATTTTAGTTTCTCTACTAATAAAAAAATAAAGAAAATAAAATTCAGTCTAAGGATGGAATCTTCGGATCGAAAGGCAAATTTGGAAAAAAAAAAGCAGTTGACCAATCTTCTTCGTAATTTTCATCAATAAATAGTGTAGTATTTCACATTTTTTTTTAAAAAAAAATAGGGTCTGTACGCAAATCACTCATTTTTCTTTGCATGTTGTAGGATAAATACACAAGTTCATTGTTCTTATAAAATCTTCCCAAGTTGACTAAACTTTGTGGAATTTTCTCAGCATGTGCTCCAAATGATTAGGGGTGAGAATTAACCTGATCTGGATTCGAAATTTGGATTTTGGATCTAAAATTTGGATCTGTAATCCAGATCCAGATCCAAAAGTCATATCCATGTTGAAATCTGAATCGGAATGGGGTGCAGGTGGGTCCGCTCTAGATCCGACCTGAATAGATCCAACCCAGTTTTTTTAATAGTAAACTTTTATTTTATATATATAATTTTTTTTTAATTGGATATATATAATGAGGATCCGAATCCAATGTATACTATTCAGATTGGGATCCAGATCCAGATCCGATGTATTCGGATCTACATCCAAATCCAAATATCCATAATCCAATTTGGACGCAGATCTGATGTATAACATTTGGATCTGATCAGATCTGGCCTAAATTCGACCCGTTCTCAACCCTACAAATGAAGCATCTGGGATGAATTTTATCTAATTCCAACTTAAAAATGTCAGAAATAGGAGCCATTACGATGTATTTTGAAGGAAACAACAAGACAAAACTTTATTATGGTTTTAATAAGAAAATACATTCTCTCTCTTATATCTCTAAGTTGTTATTCCTTTTGAAATAAGGAAGGAAAAGAACTCTTTAATTAACTACTAGTTTTATTTTCAAATTTCAGAGGTCATGATTAATTATCCTTGTCTTATTTTCAAATTGTAGAGGTCACAATTAATTAGTATACAGACATCTAGACAGGGAAACATCATCTCAATATTCACGTATTTTTGTAAAATAACGAAAATACGTAATATAACAACCCCAAATTTTTTTTGGAGCTCAAAAAACACTATTTTTAATATATATTTTTTTAAAAAAATTAAGCCAAAATCTGCCAATCCGACCAATTCTCTGATCCGGATTGTCGATCCAACCGATTCTCCAATCTTAATCACCGATCCACCAATCTAACACGACTTTGAAGTAGCCGATCCGGCTAATGATCCCTTTTTTAAAACCTTGATTAGGTGCATTTGTATACAACGTTAACATTAAAAAATGAAAGTAAGCTGAATATCCAATGTCCAGACTATTTCAAAAGATGCAATTCTAGTGCTCGAGAGTATTATGATGGAATAAAATTCTATTATCGTCAC